TAGAGAAAAAAAAAAAGTAAACAGTTGGGACCTAATTAAACTTAAAAACTTTTGCACAACGAAGGAAACTATAAGCAAGGTGAAAAGACCACCCTTGGAATGGGAGAAAACAATCACAAATGAAACAACTGACAAAAGATTAATCTCCAAAATATATAAGCAGCTCATGCAACTCAACAGCAGAAAAACAAACAACCCAAACAAAAAATGGGCAGAAGAACTAAACAGACATTTCTCCAAAGACATACAGATGGCTAATAAACAGATGAAAAGATGCTCAACATTGCTCATTATAGAGAAATGCAAATCAAAACTACAATGAGGTATTACCTCACACCAGTCAGAATGGCCATCATCAAAAATATCTGCAAATAATAAATGCTGGAGAGGGTGTGGAGAAAAGGGAACCCTCTTGCACTGTTGGTGGAAATGCAAATTGATACAGCCACTACGGAGACTGTATGGAGATTCCTTAAAACTAGTAATAAAACCACCTTATGACCCAGAAATCCCCCTCATAGGCATATATCCTGAGGAAACAAAAATTGAAAAAGACACATATATCCCATTGCTCATTGCAGCACTATTTACAAAAGCTAGAACATAGAAGCAACCTAGATGTCCATTGATAGAGGAATGAATAAAGAAGTTGTGGTACATATACACAATGGAATATTACTCAGCCATAAAAGGGAACACATTTGAGTCAGTTCTAATGAGGTGGATGAACCTAGAGCGTATTATACAGAGTGAAATAAGAAAGAGAAAGATAAATATCATTTACTAACATATATATACAGAATCTAGAAAAATGGTACTGAAGAATTTATTTGCAGGGCAGCAATGGAGAAACAGACATACAGAATAGACTTATAGACATAGGGAGAGAGGAGGAGAGGGTGAGATGTATGGAAAGAGTAACATGGAAATTTACATTACCACATGTAAAATAGATAGCCAACGGGAATTTGCTGTATGTCTCAGGAAACTCAAACTAGGGCTCTGTATCAAACTAGAGGGGTGGGATGGGGAGGGAGATGGGAGGGAGGTTCAAAAGGGAGGGGATGTATATATACCTATGGCTGATTCATGTAGAGGTTTGACAGAAAACAAAAAAATTCTGTAAAGCAATATCCTTCAATTAAAAAAAGAAAATGCATTTTCAGAAGCTAAGAGACACAGAGGGGAAAAAGGCTAGCTGAACTATATGGAGAATATTAATGAACCGAGGACTCAGCTACTAAGAGTGGTTTGTGAAGCTCACCTTCTGATCTGACAAAACTAATTCTAGGGAGCTGTTTTACGGAAACAGTTGCTCAAGTGTTCAGTCATGCTCATTCAAGTATGTTTATTTTGAAGTATTTAAAATAATAGCACAAAATGGAAACATCCTATAGTTCCTTCAGTAAGGCCCATGAGACCCAGAGGTCCATGATATCTGATACCTGGGGAATGATACGAGCCCTGAGTATAAACCAAAGGACTGTAAACCTGGGCCAAGGTTCAGCACCAGCAAGGCTTGCGGTGCAGCAGTGGATGAGGATTGGATTGAGCAAAGCCCATTCAACAGTAGAGGTTTAAGGCTGCTGGTGCTCAGTCTCTCCAACTCTCTGCCTGGCATTTGGAAACCACACTAACTTCTTAAAATTGAATAAATCCCTGGAATAGACCATGAGAGGAGCCAGGACTTCCTCCTCCACCTGGTGGTAAAGAGGAGGCTCTCCCTTCCCTGATGGGGTGATATCAAAGGAGGCAGGATTCTCACCACTGACCAAAGGTTATGAGACCACTTCCCCATGGTGTCTGTGGGAGCCACATAGAATCTCAAGGACCCATGAAAGTGTTAGCTGCCCAGTCAAGTCCAATTCAACTGTCTGCACCCCCATGGACTATAGCCCACCAGTCTCTTCTGTCCATGGAATTCTCCAGACAAGAATACTGGAGTGTGTTGCTATTCCCTTCTCCAGGGGACCTTCCTGACTCAGAGATTAAAACTGGGTCTTCCACACTGCGGGCAGCTTCTTTACCATCTGAGCCACCAGGGAAGCCCCCAAGGACCCACAGGATGATAATAAAAGATCTAATATTCATGTCATTGGGGTCCCAGAAGGAAAGAAGAAAAGGCAGAGCTGAAATAGTATTCTCATAGGAAAAAAATGGGTGAAAACTTGCTAAATTTGCCAAGACATAAAGCTAGTTTCAAAAAGCTGAGTGAAACTCAAATAGAATAAACCCAAAGATATCCACACCAAGGTATGGCACAGTTAAATTTCCCGAAACTGAAAACAAAGAAAATCTTGAAATCATCCAAAGAACAACATGGACAAAATAGTTAATGATAGTAGACTGCATATCAGAAACCGTGGATGTTAAAGGAAGTGGCAAAATGTTTTTTAAATGCTAGGAAAAAAGTACCAGCAACCCAGAATCTTATACTTGGGTAAAAAAAAAAATCCTTCCAAAAATAAAGGGAAATCAAGATATTCTCAGATGAAAGAATACTGAGAATTTGTTACCAGGAAGCTAAGAGAACTTGTTAGCCTAAAAGAATGACTAAAGGAAGTTACCCAAATGGAAAGGAAATCATAAAAAAGAATCTTAGAACATCATGAAGCAAGGCAGAGAGTATGCGATAAGCAAAAATATGGGCAAATACAATAGACTTTCTTTCTCTGAGTTTTCAAAATTACATTTGATGATTGAAGCAAAATTGACATACAACACTTAACACTGATGTAGTTCTCAATGGGCATAAGGAAATATTTACAATAAATATACTATGTATATAGAAAAGTCAAAGAGATATAAAGGGGCAAGATTTATATGCTTCACAATAACTGATAAGATAATGATAGCAGTTGACTATTATAATTATATAAATTATGTATATATAATTTAATACATAGAGCAGTCACTAAAAAGGCTATACAAAGAGATACATTTAAAAACACTATTGGTAAATCAAAATGTAAAAATGTTTAACCCAAAGCAAGGCAGGAAAATGTATAGAGAAACGGAACTCAGGAAACAAACAGAAAACAAAAACCAAAATGTCAAATCAAAACTAACAAACCTCTAGAAAAACTAACAAAGAAAAAGATGGAGAAAACATAAATTACCAGTGAATGAAACAGGGGATGTCACTACAGACCCTGAAGACATCAAATGAATATTGAAGGAATTCTACAAGCAACTCTACACACATAAATTTGAATATATTGATGAAACAGAACAATTCCTATAAATAACTAAATAAACAAAAAACTGCAATTCACACAATATGAAATCAGTAATTTGAATAGCCTTGTGACTATTAAGAAAATCAAATACATAATTTTAAAACTTGCAAAGAAGAAATCTCCAGGCCCAAATGGTTTTACTAGACAATCTACCAAACATTTAAAGAGTTAACACCAATTCTACATAATCTCTTCCAGAACAAAGAGGAGGAAACACTTCCCAATTCATTTGATTTATACCACAACCAAAGGCAGAAAAGCAGAAAACTATAGACCAACATCCCTCTTAAGTACAAAAGTCCTTTAAAAAAAAAATCAGCAAATAGAATTCAGCAATATACAAAAAGAAATACACACCATGAGCAAGCAGGGCCTTATCCCAGGGATATAAGACTTTTAATGTTTAAAAATCAATCAATGAGTCAATCCCATTAACAGACTATAGAAGGAAAAAATCACATGATCATATCAACTGACTGTATCAATATCAATATCCTGACTATGACACTGTACTACAGTTTTTGAGTGATATAACCATAGAGGAAAACCAGATAAAGGGTGCACAGAATCTCTATTATTTCCTACAAGTGTCTGTGAATTTACAATTACCTCAAAATAAGATGTTTAATTTTTAAAAATTCTTGCATGACATACCAAAAAAGCCACACCACTTTATTTTCCATAATTCTGCAAGGTTCAGCTGATGTAACTGGCTCTGCTGATCTTGGTTGGCCTCACCGATGTTTTGTGTGGGTTTCAACTAATCTAGGCGGGGTCCCTCTAAGTCAATCTGGGAGCTTGGTTCTGATCCCTGTGTCTCTCATCCCCAGCAGCCAGGCCTGGACATGTTCTCCCGGCTACTGCAGAGGTGCATGAGAAAGCACATTCTGATGGATAAAGGTCTCTCAAGCCTGGACTTAGTCATGGCTTCTACATTATGGTGGTTGAAGCAAGTAACATGACTGAGCCCAGTCTCAACGGACAGAGTACTGTATTCTACTCATGGGAGGGTACTGGTAAGGTACATTCATGGACACGGGGATCAGTGAAAAGCTGGAGCCATGATAGACTCTACCTCACCATCCCTGATCACCTCCAGGATTAAAAACACCAACTGCTACTCTTCCTTCTCAGAGGCAGGCTGTGGTTATTCTCCATTGTTTCAAGGGTCATAGAACAGGATCTGAGTGTCCCTTTGCCCAAGACCGGTCACAAGGGAAGATAGTATATGATGTCTAATAACTTCCTACACTGAGCCAGGCTCCCTCTAGACTGTCCCACAGCCCTTGTCTCTACCTTGCCCAACCCCGACCTAATCCTTATTCCATCTGTGTCCCATCGCTGATTCTCTTCTCACCCCTTAATTTTGTAGATTGAAGTTCCTTTCCTGGCATTCACCAGACTTTTCTTTTTTTTTTTTTTTTAAGAATCTCTGTCCAAAGTCATTAAGATCAGTCTTTTTTGGTCTCCATTTTCTCATCTGTAAAGAGGGAATAATAGCAGTACCTACACCGCTCCATCAGAGGGTCCATGTGGGGATGAAACAATACAACTTATATAATGAGTTTACACTGCCTGGTACATAGTAATCTCTCAATAAATTGTATTGTGTTGTTTTTTTTTTTTTTCTCTTTTCTTTCAATATAGAGGTGAGAGGCATTCTCAGTCGAACTACAGTTATAGGAGAGTTAGCATTCCAAGTTGGAATTCTGAACATATTTTCCCATAGAAACACTGTTCTACACTGTGATGGTATTTTACACCATCATTACCACTCCTAAGGATTCCATAGTGTTGGTACTTCAGCTTAACCCTACAAGTTAAATGGGCTCTCCTAGACTGGTCTGGCAAAACTCACCACCATGAAGAACACCACTTCAAGAGGAAAACGTGAGTTCTAAATAAGTCCCTTACAAATGAATTTTTGAAGTAGAACCCACTCTTAAGTTTAGTGCTGGCTAGAATGTTGTGAAGCCAGATGCTTTGGAGACTAGATTTATCAGGTTGATGAAGGGTAGATATTCTACAGACCTGACCTCTGAGCCTCATCCTCTCTGGAATGAGGCCAGATGGCAGAGACTCTCAGGGCCAACGGTGAGAAGCAAAATTGTGTTGTGAAGAAAACTAGGTTGACCTTGGGTGTGGGGGCAATATAGGGGGATGACAGGAGGTCACAATTGATACCTGGGTACGCAGAGGCTGGGGAGATGAGGAGGCTCAAAAACAGGGTCTTGAGGGCAATGCCAAAGGAGTAGGTACATACTTGTTGGTGGAAGGCTGTGAAAAAAGAAACATTTTTAACCAGAAACTTATAGAAATATATCTGGAATCCAAACATAGCTAGATCCATCATTTGAAAATGAAATGATCTAGGATTCTGTGCTCCCACTGCCAGGGGCCCTGGGTTTCATGGGGAACTAAGACTCCACAAACTCTGAAGCTGTGTGCAGCAAAAATAAAAAAAGAAGAAGAAGAAAAAGAAAGAAAAGTGAAAATGGAGTGGAGTGATCAGAAGAAATGTAAAAACTATAACTCCAAGGCTAAGAGCCGAGAAGAGATGGATTTGGAGCCTTTATGTGGAATGCTTGTAAGGTCTGAATCACACTATAACCAGATGTTATAAGCTAAGCTGAGAGCTTTGGGATATAAATGAGACACTCAGAACACTTCACTCTAGAAAGTTCACATGAAGGTGACCTTCTGGGTACACAGGATAGCAATGAGCAGAGGAGGAAAGGGAAGGAAAGAGATTCTGCAGAAATAGAGGAAGTAGGGAGAGAAGCTGGTCGTCTGTGGAGGTACAGGCCCTTCACACCCTGTACTAGCAAAGCTAAGAATGAGCCTGAGAGAGACCCAGGTCTCCCTGGGTAGTGCTGGGGTCCCCCTCAACCCTGCTGGACATTCTACACCTCTGTGTCTGCAACTACATGTGGACCCTAAAATGGCACCAAAATCTTGAGTGATGCTGAGTGTAGCTAGTGAACAGGGAACTTGGGGGATGGATCCTTTATTCCTGCTTTCTTCATCCCTGACAGTGGTCACCAAGCTTCCATCTGAATATCTTCACTGATAGAGACTCACCCTTCATAAGGTCCCCCTTTCCTTATTAAACATCTGTCATTGCGAAGGGTTCTCTCCAAACAGCCAGACCAGATCTACCCCCACCCTGGTCCTCCTCCTGTTCTCTGAAGCTAAGTAGCTAAATCCAATCCATCGTCCTCCTGAGAATCAGTTCCATTCCCTCCAGATCTTCTCTCTTCTGAGAAACAGTCCACATTGCACAACCTTAATAACCAAGTCCAATGATCATGTCAGGATGGCCTATTTATGCAAAGCACCATGCACATAAGTGGGACCCTAAAGTGAATAAATGATCTCCTTGCTCTTCAGGCACACAAGGTGAAGACAGAGGCATGGACAATGGACCCTAGTACAAAGAAGACTGATAAGTACTATAATCAATGTTCAAAACTTGCTATGGTGTAGCTAAGGGGAAAGAGGAGACCAATTCCATTCGGGAGCATCTAGAAAGGTTTCTAGGAAGAGGTGGGATTTGAGTTGGAGTTTGAAAGACTTTGATGAGCAGGGGTGGGGAAGGAGGCAGGTGGTGAGTGGAGAGAGCACACAATATGGACTTGACCCTGGTTCTTAACTTCCTATGTGACCTTGAGAATATTGAAAATGAGGGCACTGAATGCACTGATCACTAAAGTCAAGTGGTGGGTGTGTTTGGGCCAGGGGTAAGGAGAGAAGAGGAGGAGAATTTATTCAATACTCTGCCTGTCACATGGGTGCAGCACCCAGCACCATTCTGCTCATGTCATTGGGGGAAACTGCCAATGCCCTTCTTAGAATGATGATGATACCACCACCAGCAGCAACAACACTTCTTTGGCAATTATGAGCCCAGATTTTAGAAGTGCTTTATATGTTTATACTGACACCCCATTGAATCCTCACGACAGTCCGAAGAGATAGGTACCAATTATATTATTCCTATTTTACAGATGAGAAAGCAGAGGCACAGAGAGGTTGGGTAACTCACTCAAGGTCATGGAGCTAGTCTCATGGTAGAGCTGGGATTCGAACCTCTGCTGTCTAGCTTCCTGCTTTACTTCCTCAATAAAAAACACAAGGGCAGAAATGACCCCAGTGCTTTAGGTGTGTTCTGCCTCCCCAAAAGGAGAATATAAATGGCACCATAAGCCTCTTCTGCACCCCCATTAATTCAGCCTAAGACAACACTGACTTTTTTGGAAGCCATACCACGCTGATGATTCACATTCATCAGGCAGTTGCCCAAAATCCCTAAAATGATTTTGATATGAACTGTTCTTAAGCCAGATCAGTCTCATTTTGTTCACATGCAGTTGAGTAGTTAATCCTAAATGTTGGGCTTTAGGCTTTAGTAAGTTGAACTACATTCTAACTTTAGGCTCACAGTAATTTTTAAAACATACTATGTTATCCAATATAAATTCTCCTAACTTAGTGATAATGTAACAATAAGAGCTAACAGTTACTGGAGAACTGTCTTTGGGCCAGGCACCTTGATAAGTGTTTTTTTCATGTAGTATCTTATGTAGTTATTTAGTATTCACATGGAATCTATTATTATTGTTACTGTTTTTGTTATTATTCAAGCAAATAGAAAATCAAGGCTAGTGAAGTTAAGAAATCTGCTCAAGATCCAATAAGGAAGTGACAGACCCAAGGTTCATATTCCAGGACTGTCTGACCCTGGGGCTTGAACTCTTATCCATCCATGTTTCTCTCACCTCTTTGTAACAACCATGTACTTGCCATTAGATAAGTCAATCATGAAAAATGTCAAACAGAATCAAGGACAGAACTCAAAAATAAATTACATCCCTCCAGGCATACGTGAACCAATTTCTCATGGAGTCATAAACAGCTAGAGATTGCAGCATTTTTTATATAATACTGAGAACCAGGGAAGCTGAGTGATTTGCCCAAGCTCACATACCCAAGGCAATAAAGGAGATGGAGAAGTAAACAGTCCAGAGAAATAAGTGCTTCATTCCATCAACACACACTTTTGAGTATAAAGGAAAAACCAGCCGAAAAGTTTTGCAATTACACCATCATCTAAATTGCAATTTTCCAATTTGTTCACATTCATCTCATGAGATTTTTATCAAAAACCTTGCTAGAGTCAATGTTCACTTCATCAAAAGCACCCCTTGATCTGGGGAGACGGGATTCAACTGTCCCAACCAACTCACAGTGAACACGTGGAACTCCCTATGCTAAAGGTTCATAAATCATCTGCCTGATAACTCAGTAGAGGATTTTGTGAAGAGTTAACATCTGTGTGAGGTTTTGCAAGGCTGCCAAGTCCTGACAACCATCATGCAAGTTATCCCCAGTCACCAAGCATCATCCAACAGTGTTACTGAGTCCAAGCTCATACTGCTCGCCAAACTGAAACCATTTGGGTGTCATTTCAGGGGCTCCAAAGAGCTCCAGTACCATAGTCCTTCATGTCTCAGCACAGAGAAGAATCCATCGAGAGCAAAGAGATAGATAAGAAGTGATTTATGAGAAAAGGACACTTGTGAGGCTTAAAAATAGGCAGGCAAGGGGGCGCCCCACCCTGAGAACTTACTGGGCTTTATAATCAAAGGAAAAGTGGCAAGGGGGAGAAGAACTTCTTTGTCTTTCTTGAATGGATGTCATGCTTCCATCATCACTTCCTCCTCCAGGTCTGGCAGGGGAGTTTTCTTGTCCCTGCATGGTCAAGCTAGGCCCACCAATTATTGTCTTTTATGTGTGCAGAGAGCATGTCCTAGGGATCATTAATTTACTGAGCTCAATGGGAAGGATATGGGTCTCATGTCACCATCATTTTATTGTGGGGAGGGCATGTCTTGTGCTTCTGTTGCATGTTTTTTTTTTGCTAAGCAAGCCTGCTTGGTTTTGTGGTTAAGCAAATCTGCTTTCTTGAGCAATCATTAACTTCTAGGGAGTCTCCATATTTTTTCTATTTATTAATACAATCCCCTAGTGGGGTTAACTATTTAATCACCTATTTTGTCCCTTCACTCTATCCCTATCAAAATAACAAGTCAATAAATTGAGAGATGAGGTTTGTGGCAAGGAACAGTGATTTTCTTTGGAAAGCCAGCAGACGGAGAAGTTGATGGACTAGTGTTCCAAAGAACAATTTTACTGATTTCTATACTAAAAGGGGAGAGAAATGTGGCTGCTTGTACAAGCTTCTTGGTGCAGGAATCCTTCATTCTTGCAGCTGTCTGAATAGGTTTGATCAGGATGTTCCTACAAACCTCCAACAGGACAAAAGTTATTCTCTGTTCTGCAACTTTTTACCTCTATATGAATGGGAAAACGCTACCTCTTTAAAAGTCAGAGACCTGAGAATATGCTATCCTGTGTATTTCAGGCTACAGAGAACATTCTTTTAGGAAAGATTCAGAGCCAGCATGACCAAGCACAGGAATACCACACAGCGGTTAGAGCTAAAGGAACAGATGCAATATGGAGTCAGATCTGCTCTTCTCTGTTATAAATGGTGGTTCTGGGTCTTCCCACCGTGGGCCTGAGATCTACTTAAAGATGCTCAACACATCTCTGTCATCTAAAGCTCTAACTTCTCTCTGTCATTCCCAAGTGAGACTACTTTTGTTGGTACAGAAGAGAGGAGTCAAATTGAATCAGAGTGGTTCTGTTTTCTTTCTGCCTTCTGCTGTTGTAACTGAATCTGAAAAACCCCTTCTTTTGTCATTTACATTTTCAAGAACCTCAGCTCAGTCTCACACTTAACTCCAGACCTATCTTTGCTTTTTGTCACAGTCCTTGTCAAAGACTGTCCCTGAACAAACTTTAGTCAGGCTCCTCTGAGCCCAGCTAGGTCCCATCATTGGGCACATTATCCAAGAGCCCAGTTTTGGCAAGAATCCTGCTAAGTCAGTTTAGCCAGAATCTCCCACCCTTGATATCTGATTAAATTCTTCATCCTCAATCATTCCTCAGGTAATGTCTGGTCACCCTGGCTTGCCTTCACCAAGAATCCTATCAGGTCATTTTAGCCAGAATCTCCCCTTACTCCTAATTCTTCCTTAGTAATTTTTCATCCACTGGTGCCACCTCCTCCCACCCCTCATTTGGCTCCTTGGCTATGAATTCCCACTTTTCCTTATTATATTCCCAGCTAAGCCAAGTCTGTCTTCCCTAGGCACAGCCCCACTGAGGTAGCCCCTGTGCCTATCACGACAGTCCTGATCACAACAGTGACACAACACAAGAGACAGAATAGGTTTTCTTTAACGTCTCTTCCGGACATCTTTCATACGTGTAATTTTTAAGCCCAAGAACTTCCTTTCAGCCTCAACATCAAGTGTCTTTCTTTTACTTCCTTCTTCAGACACTCTCCCCAACTCCTCATTTAGTAAGAGGTGGGATCAGTATTTAACTACAAACCGCCTTTGGAACCTCAGCCTTTTACTACTATGCTATACTATACCTATATTATCTGCAAATGTATTAATAGCTAAGGCATTGATTGAAACACAGCCACTAACAGAATCTTGAGATTTCTACCCACCTGTCTCTCAGTCAATTAAGCAGGCAAAGAATAGCCTGAAGAGACCATGAAGGTCCAGAGATTTTGAGTAATTTAATCAGTGTTAGTAGATAATTTCTTTAAAGGTAAAATCATGACTCTGGCAAAGACAAACCCAGTAAATGTGGTAAGGACAGACTTTAATCAGTAATAGACTGCAGCAGTCAGTTCCACATGAACTGAGTTTGGATTTGTGCATTTTGAAGGGAGAGTGAGGAGGGAACAGGGACAGAGTAGGGCGTCAGTAGAGTCAGGGGAGTGATACATTACAGAAAATAGGAAGGGGAGGTTGGTCTGCATGAAACCATCTGGCTTTGTTAGGCTTCTCTCCTCCTACAGACGGGGAACAGGGACCCTACATTTAGGTGTTAGTTGGAACAAACAGCAAATTATGTTCTCAGGTAGGCACTTGAAGGTGGAAGGGGGGGTGATGCGGGGGTTGGGCTGGGTCATCCTAGGGATGTAGCTATGAGCTGCTAGTGTCGTGTTCACATCTTTAAAGGACTAGTCAAGAAAGGCTCAGAATTTCATCAAGACTAGAATCTTTGTCAACTCTCAGAACATGTGTCAAAACATTTTATTTAACTCACTAATTAATAATAGGGCCAATTAAAATGTTACAACCAATTCAAAGGAGAACTCACACTACTGCACACTTATAGTCAGATAAGAAATACTGAAATGATTTTACAAATAGAGGCAAAACTGGAAAAACCAGTCCGTACCCATGGACTGGTTTTTCCCCACAATGATAAACAGTTGCATTCCACAAGAGACAATTTGCATTTTATGAAAGGAATTATTTGCATTACTATCAAATAAATAAAACCAGAAATGAAAGAGGAG